TATTTTACAGATGCCAACAGGGTAATAAGTACTGACTGACCCCCACCTGGCAAATGGCTTCCTTAACCCATGTGAATCTTGCTCTAACGAGCCCTGCTTTATTCTTGATGGCTGGCCAAGGGCCACTCCTGTATGGAGCTATCTTTCTTTTTCCAATCATTATAACCATCATGGTGAATTATTACTATTATCCATACAGATAACTAGCATGCATCAGACTGGCTGGCAAGACCACACAGTGACAGAGAAGATGAAAGACCTTTAATTTGATAAGCTGGAAGCAACAATGGAAAAGGAGTCTCTGATTCTAATTACTGTGTTTTTCAAGATGCTGATAATCAAATCAATCGCTGAACCAAAAAAATAAAGCTTAACTACCTGAGAGAAAATGTTTTCTAGGTGACACGTAGACAGCTGGTGTTGTTTGGGAATTAAAGCCAGGCTCTGTTTGTGTCTACGTAAATCCAGTCATTTGAGGTGGCTCATTTTTTTTTTTTGCTCTTTTTATTTTTGATAGCTCTGTCAACCTCACTTTGGAAGTGTGAACAGATTTACAGACCAATGTTTCATGGTTCTATGAAGCTTAAAACTCGCTCAAACCACAGAAAAACATCAAATGTGAAAAACAAAATCTATAAAAGACAGTTAAAGAAATGATCTAAGGACATTCCCTTCCCCTCACCCTCATTCTATTTTTCATTCTCAGCTCTTGTGATACCTATTCAGGTCTGTAATTGCTTTAAGTCAAATGAGTTTAAATTTATGTTCTTGTGATGGGAAAAGGTCCTTTAAAAATGTATATAACAAGAAAACACTGTTGCCCTGGTAACAAGATCTTGGGCATTCCCTTTCTTTGTGGAAGAAGTATCTCATGCTACCAAAAGCTTTTTATTTCTTTAGTCACATTTGATCAGATGAAGCAAGAATGGAACTGGAGCAAAGCATTAATACTAGTGTATAGGTATGCCTCACTTTATCTAGCAAATTATAAGATCATGAATCTAGAGATGGAAAGCATGTTGCCTAAGAAGGAAGGAATGAGGGGGGAAAAAGCATTTATTAAGTACCTATTATATGCCAGGCTCTTTATAAATATTATTTCATTTGATCCTCACAACAACCTTGGGAAGTGGGTGCTATAATTATCCCCACTTTATGTTTTTCTGAAACATAAAAGAGGTTAAGTTATTTGCCCAGGGTCACACAGCTGGTGTATGAGTCCAATTTTGAACTCAGGTCTTCCTGACTCCAGCATATAAAAGTGAGGATAAATGAGTTCTTTATAAATTTATTGTACGTTTTATGTTCGATATTTTAGGAATGCATTTCTTAAACTATATTCCTAAAATATATTTCCTAAAATACATTCCATATAGTCTATAAGTTTCAGATTTTTCACCAGAAAACACCAGATTTTCATATTTTTTCAAGTGAACAGAGTTAGTTTTATATTGCCTTGCCCATATGTGAAACATTTAGATAATGCCTTTTAATATGTTCCATTTAAAGTTTGGTGTTCTCAGGAAGTGTTCTGTCTGCTGTTATTCTCTTGAATATTTATAAAGGAAAATAAACACAAGCCCAGAATTTGTTTAAAAAATGATTCTTATAGGTTATTAGTCCAACCCCTTCATTTTACCAAAAAGCAAACTGAAGCTTCAAGGTCATCTAAGGTAGTTTGTGACCCTAAGGTCACAAAGCTGTCCACTACACTGTGAATGAACATATTATCATATAGTTATTTGCATTATTTTAAAAATCTTTTCAATTTTAATATATATAGGAAGTTGACTATGTATTTGAGAAATCCTATAACAAACCCTTCAAAATGGCCATCCCCAAATGTATCTGATTTGAAAATTTATATCTGTAAATACTGACTTTATACAGCTAGGCATACCTAGCTACATTATCTGTTTCCACATAAAGTGACAAACCCAAACCAGGATTCTGGGTGCCAAAGAGCAACCCAGTAAAAATTTACTTGAAATTTGGTTTGTAATACCTGACTCAAAACTTGCAGAGGCAAATCATGCAAATGAGATAAGGCACAAGAAAGTCCTTTGAAGTATATAAAGTACTGGCGGAATGTAGCAGAGGTTGTAGAACCCCAAGGCAGGTGTTTTTAATTCACTTGCCCTGCCCAGCCTCACCCTAATCTTCCTCTGGGGTGGACCACTTCTAACTAAACTTGGAAGCCTAAACTGAAACTGTCCACAGGTAGTGAACCCTTTAGTTCAGTAGCCGAATGTAAACAAGGACTTGCCAGTTTGGGGAAGGTGGGCTGGCTATTTGGGAATGCCTAGAGGAATTCTTAGAAAAAGTTGTCAAAGAGCTATGTTTTAATCAAACTCTCCTACCTAGGTTTAATTCCAAGTTATGGATATTAAAAAAAAAACCCACCCCCCAAACAAAAAACAAAACCAACAGCCACCCCTGAAGGTACTATTAGTATTAACAACTTTCGTAATAGGAGTGAAAAATCAGTCTATAAAGTTAACCTTATTGGACAGTTTCAATAAAACCTGGGAAGACTAATATGAACTGATGGAGAGTGAAGTGAGCAGAGCAAGGAGAAGGATTCGTACAAGGACAACATCATACAAAGCAATTTGCAAAGCCTTAAGAACTCTAATCAACACAATGATCAACCATGTTTCCAGAGGACAGAGGACAAAGTATGCTACCCACCTTCTGACAGAGAAGTGTTAGATTTGGGGAGCAGATTGAGACATTTTTTGGACATGGCTAATAACGAGAATTTGTTTTCCTTGACTAAGTACATTTGTTACGTGGCTGGATCTCTCTACCCCGCCCCACCCCCCACCCCTGCCCAATGATGGTGGCATGAAAGGGAGAGAAAATCTTGTTAATGTAATCACAGACCAAAAAAATTCCCCATATCAATATAAAACAACAGAATAGGATGTTAGGATGCAATAAATTAGCCCTATTAGATTTTCTCCAAACTAAATGATTTTTAAAAGTACCATACATGGAGTTGCATCGGATTTCTTACATAAAAAGAGATATTCAGATAGAATCCAAATTCAGGTTACCATTTCCCTGGGTCAGCTCCAAAAGCTATGAATTCTTCTTGTCTTATCCATAGCAGGCATTTAATGTTGAATTGAATTTAAATGTACATTTCTGCCCACTTCCATCGTTACCAATTCCACAAACAACCAGATTAGTTGAGAAAGTATCTTTCATTTAGTAGCAGCCTCACTCAATCACTTTACATTCTATAGGGGATAGCCATCTTCTGAAGTACCAAGAAATCAAAAATTTTCACGTATAGGAGCCCTACAAATGCATATACTAAAAAAATGCAATTAAATGAGCATCTATGACTCATAAAGGAAAGATAATTAAATGTAAATTACCACTGCAGATGTCATAGGCATGTTGTTATTCATAAAATTTTCGTAGTTCTCTAACAGTGCTTGAGTTTGAAAGGTATAACAGCACATGCAAAGTGTAAATGAATTTCTATCAAAAATTAGGGTTAAGTTCCCAAAGGAAAGGAATACTATGCTTAGGTACCTCAGAGCCTTATTAGCTAAGGTTCAGAGTCACACTGCCAATGCTGAATTGTTAGAGGAAGTGACCATGAATTGGCACTTAACCTTCGACCATCACCCCCAACCCTTTACTTTACCCAACACTTTGCTACTTGTAATTATAACACAACCGAGGCTTTGTTTTTTAGTTTGACAGAGATGTAGATGATGTGCTTCCAGGCTGGATTTCAGTCTTTTTCCAAATCTTCTGTTGATTCTTCAAATAACCTTGTGACAATTAGACAAGAAAACATCTCTATCTGTTCTGGCAATGCTTTTGGGTTTGTTTGGGTTTTTTTGAGCATGTGGGTGGGCAGGTGGTTGTGGGGTGGGAAATACCTCTGATTTCACTGGTATAGGAAATTATTGGAAAACATCCCTTACTGTTACAGATAAGCACCTGCTACCAAGCACCTTCCAGAGTTAGAGACAGCTAAGTGGCACAGTGAGTAGAGCACTGGACCTGGATCAGAAAAATCCAAGTTTGAATCTTGATTTAGACACTTACTATGTATTTCCTCATCTGTAAAATGGGGATAATAATATCACCTGTCATAGGACTGTTGCAAGGAGCACATAAAAAAACATGTAAAGTACATTGTGAACCTTAAAGCACTATGTAAATGCTAGGTATTATTACTATCCTTAGAGAGAACATGTACATAAGGAACATCAAGGTTAAGTGACTTGCCCAGTATATGTCAGAATCCACCTTGAACCCAGGTTTTCCTGATTTTGAGGACCGGTCACTATCCTCTCTATACCATATAACCTCTATGTGTTGGCCGTTACTGTTCATATCACTATGACAAAACTTATGTCTATTTAAGTTGGAAAAGGAATGTAAGAGAATAAAATTTAAATTATGATTGCAGATGTCATAGGCATGTTGTTATTTAGGCATTGCTGCAGATGCCATAGTCATGTTGTTTATCTAAAAGCTAAAGGATGCTCTCAAAGGAACAATAGGTCTACTCAGTCCCTTTGGTGCATTCATTCGGTAAATATTGAGCACCTTTATATACAGGCTGCTGAGTCTGGCTGTCCTTGGCTAGAAGATAAATGAAGAAGAGAGTAAAATAAAGGGGGAAGTACAGAGAATCAATGCTGTTACTGTACAGAGGTATTCTCTGGAAAATTATTTTAAAAGAAGAAAGAATTGGTATTGCTTCCTAAGTCTCTAGCCCCTTGCTTTAGTATGTATTGACTCTGGGATAGAGTTGCCTATCCATAAAATTCATTAGGAATGCCCATTTTCCATCATTTCAAATAAATTTAGCAAGGCCTTCTCATTATTGGTACACTGCTAGTGCTGGTAGATTGCTCAGCCTGGCAACAGCTTTCCACTTCATGTCAAAGTATAGGAAAGAGCAATTCAAGACATATTTCTTAAGTATTCCCACAGATATGGGGAAAAACTTCTGAGAGCCTCTTTACCTTCACCAAAGATGTCATCATCTTCATCCTCCATACTCTGATCATCTTCTCGATATTGCATCTTGGAGAAGAGTAGTAAGTGACCAGGAGGTCACAGCCCCAAGGATGAATGCTGCCACACAAACTGCAGGGCCTGAAGAGACTTATTTCCTTTCTGTAAGTTTCCTAAATGCTTTGGTAAGGGCCCCTTCCGCTTCCGGATCTCTTCTTATGAAATCGGTTTCATGGGCATGAAAGGCTTCCCAAAGCATTCAAGGTGGGGCACTTCTCTGGAGAAGGAAGAGTTCTTTGGAGATAGAGTTGCAGACCAGGAAGAATCAGCACGCTAACTGCATTCCGGGACTGAAAGCTGTGAATTTTGCTTCAGAGTAACAAAGCACATGCTTTTTGAAAGAGGAAGAGGTTTTTGCATGTGAATGGGTGGTAGTGAAAGAGGGAAGAAGTCCACATTATTTCTATCTTATTCAAATTTCACTCTAGTGATAGGTTGGCTAGAAGTAAAGCCATGATGCTCCATCAATGTCATGCCTCTAGGCTGGGATGTTATTTCTTTTCCTTTCTTTTGTCTCTTCAGATTTGTGATCTTTACACAGTTTAAACCACAATTAGCACACAAGTAGACTCCTCTAGATATGATTAAATTCTAAGGCCAGTTTTAGTCCAACTTAATCTCTTCTTCCAGGTTCAATGCCAACCACTTCCTCTAGAGGAATCTGGACATAATGGAGGCTCCAGCACAGATCACAACCAACCAGAGGAAGGAGTTTACATTTATCATTCATATGTTTAAGTTGCATTTTTTCTGCACTGAATCAACCTCTGCTGTCATTTCACATTGTCTGGGTGCCCAAAGTCAGCTTCACTTCTGTATATCTGTACCAGAGATCCCTGTCTGTAATGGGTTTCCTGGGAGCTCTCTATTATATCTCATATAACTTCCAGCACAGCAGCATGCCCAGAATGTTAAAACTCCAAAGGTGTGGAAGAACATGGTACTTTCTTTCCAGGGAGATCTTTCATTTACTTGTAATTGGCAAAGAGTTTCTTTATGGTCCCTAGGAGTACAGAACAATTTCCACTCTACAGGTCCTTAACTCCAAAAGCAGGTTCCCAGAGCCAATAATTTGTCCTGAATAAGAGCTTCTCCTACCACAGAGGAAAACAATCAAAGAATCACAGACTGATTGAGTTGAAAGGGCCAGCAGTGATATTCCAGGTCATTTTGCAGTTGAGGAAGCCGAGACAGTCACTGAGTCAACAAGCATTTATTAAATGCTTACTATATGCCAAGCATCATACTAAGTGCTGGTGATACAGATAAAAGCAAAAACAGGCCCCACTCTCAAGACACTCACATTCTAATGGTGGAGACAACATAGAAACAACTATGTCTAGACCAAACACATACACAGTGTAAAGGGGGAGGTAATCTCATAGGGAAGGCACTATCAGGCCGGTGGATCAGGAGAGGCTTTTTGCAGAAGGTGGTATTTGAATTGAATCTTGAAAGAAGTCAGCAGCAAGAGACAGGAGAGGGAACATTCCAGGGGTGGGGGACAATCAGTGAAAAGGCACTGAGGTGATTCCAAGGCCCAGAGAAATCAATGACCTATACGGAAATCCAGAAGGTAAGGAGGGGAAACTGAAATTATCCAATAGTATGTATGTGGGGGGTGAGTGGTGATGGAGCAGAAGGGATTCAGAAATCATCATCCTGAAATCACTTCTATAATCAGTCAGCCAGTCAATAAACATTTAAAGCAGACCTGCACAATTTGGCAATAGGTAGGAGCCAAAATTAAAATAGGCTGAACTTCTTCTGGCCCCAAACAGGTTAGACTAGAGACAGACTAATGATGGTTGGTTGCCATGGGTCACGTGACAAACAGGAGAGTGCGCAGTGACAATCCTGTATTTTTCTTGGGGCCACCTGAAATCCTTTGGCGGGCTGCAAGCAGGCCATATGTTGTGCAAGCCTGATTTAAAGGATAAGTGTGGAGTACTCGACACATCTAAGATGGCTTTTGCTTTCAAGAGCATGCAAGTTGCTTGAGTTGGAGAGAGTGGCTCATCAGCCAGGAGGAGAAGGGGGAACAGCAAAGCATCTCACGTTATAGTGGACTGTTAGCTTAGTATGAGCGAAAGATATAACAGTCAAGTTAACACTGCATGAAGTATAATCACCTTTTAAGAAGGAGGGGAGTGATAGCCCGGCCCTCCTCTGCTCTGGTCAGACCACATCTGGAGGATTGTAGTCAGTTTTGGGCAACACACACACATTGGTGGCCATCCTGAAGAGCACAACCAGAAAGAAATGTTCCTCAATCAGGCTTGCAAAGGGCCTTGTGTTAATGTCGTGCATGGTTTGGTTGGAGGACTTGAGGGTGATTAGCCTGAAAAGAGGACATGACGGGCTGTCTTAAATCTTCTAAGGGCTGTTATATGGAAGACTGACTTTACTTGTTCTGCTAAGCAACAGGTACAAGTAAGAAGCAAATTTAGGCTCTCTGGGTCCTGTTTATAAATATATTCTACCAGTCCCTGAGAGGCAGAAGGATGTAGTGGAAAGAACAATGCTTGTGGGTGTCAATAAATCTAAGTTTGAATCTCAGTTCTACTGTTGATTATCTATGACCTTGGACTACTTTCATAAGCCTTATTTTTCTTCCCAAAATGTAAATAAGGAAAATATATCACCCACTTTACGGAGGTATTATGAAGAAAACACTTGGTAAACTTTAATGAACCATAAAAATGTGGGCTAGTCCTAGAGAAAACATAGAGTGGTTGGTTGGGTGGCCCCTCTGTGGAGGATTTATGAAAGAGCATGGGTAAGAATTATACAAGATGAGGAGGCATGGAACGGTTGGAATCTGTACCAATGGAAGAAATATGCAGCTTAATTAGTTCTCAGATCCACTGAAATATTGGTAAGTATGTATGTCCCCACTGGTTCATTTTGATCACTGCTTCCATTTTTAAGTGCTCACAAACCATTCCTTTAAAACATTTCCAGAATCTTGTCAGGAATCAAAGTCAAGCTCTCTGGACTAGAGTTCAGGGAATCTTCTCAGTTCACCTTTTTTAGAAATTGGGACAATTTGCACATCAGTCCTATAATATCTTTCCTGTTCTCTCCCACCTAATATTTTTCCCTTCAAAGATCAAAGATCCATTTTACATACACACATACACACACTTCACTAAGACTTTTGGGATGCTCTGTGTGTATAAGATTATTGGCATAACCTTTGAGCATGAAGGTTACTTCCATGCATGATGAGACATTACAGTAATCCAGAACAGTGCTATTCACACATGGTCAGTCAATCAACATCATTAAGCATCCACTGTGTACCAGGCACTGTGATAGGCATTGAGGATACAAAAAAAGAACAAATATAGTCCCTGCCTTCAAGGAGCTTAAATCCTAATAGTTTCACTGATCTCAAACTAGCTACTGCCAGGAAAGCCCATCTCTTAGACCTCAATACCCTTAGAGTGACGCTTTATGATTGTGAATCATAGCATTCCTTAGTCTCAGAAGACTTAAAATTACAAGCAACTCAAAAGGCAGTGGGAAGGGGAAAGAGAAAAGGGAGCAATTTTTTAATTTATCACCCACTGTGTTTTAGGCACTATGCTAAATGATTTACCAATGTTATCTCATTTGATCCTTCCAACAATCCTGAGCTTTACGTGCTGTTATTAGTACCATTTTGCAGATGAAGAAACTGAGGCAAAGGTTTAGTTACTAGCTCAGGGTCACATAGGTCGTAAATGTCTGATTCCAGATTTGAAATCAGGTCATCCTGATTCCAGGTGCAGTGCTCCATCCACTGTGCCATTTAGCTAGAAAGAAACATGATAGATGTAAGCAATCTATGGCATCCTATCCATGATAAATAACATGTAAAAGTAGCATGCAGTGTATTAGTGAGGACATATGTCAGGAAATGGAAGTGGGTCAGTGAAGTGGGAGGAATGAGAGACAACATATGGACAGTCCTAATTGTATTAATACTTTTGAGATCTTGAGAATGAGAAGGGGAACTCTAGAATGATGGATGTATCTCCCATACAGGGAAGACCTGGCTAAAAAATGAGGAATTAGATGGTAGGAAGAAAAGATGGGAGGCCATGTGATATGAGTAGGGGTTAATGTGTGGACTGGCAGAAAGCTTCACTGGCCTTCTGGAGATGTCAATAGAAAGCAAGAAAGTCATTCAGCTGACTGAGTGGACTCGGCATGCGAACCTCTTGGGGGACACAGGCAAGAGTTGAGTAGAGTGGGCAGCATGGACAGGTTGCAATCTGAATCATTGGAAGGAACTTTGGAATGAAACAAGGCTATAGATCCATTTCAGTAAGGCCTAAGTTATAGAAATGTTATGGGCATGGATATATGCAATTGCAGCACAACATATTAGATATAATCCAATTTAATACAATACAATAAATGTGTATTAAGCACTGTGCTAAGGGCTGGGGATACAAAAAGAGGCAAAAGACAGTTCCTGTCTTCAAGGGAGCTTACAATTTAATGAAATAGCAATAGCTAACATTTATAAAGCACTTACTGTGAGCCAGGCACTGTTCTAAGCACTTTAAGACTATTATCTCATTTGATCCTCACAACAATCCAGGGAGGCAGGTACTTTTATTATTCTCATTTTATAGATGAGGCAAACAGAAGTAAGTGCCCTGCCCAGAGTCACACAGCTAGTAAGTTCAGTAAGTATCTGAGGTCAGATTAGAACTCAGATATTCCTGACTCAAGGCCCAGCCCTTTATCCACTTTGACACCTAGCTGGCCTTAATCAGGAAGACCTGGGTTCAGATTCAGCCTCTGACATGGACTGACTGGGTGAACCTGGGTAGATTGTTTAATCTCACAGTTTCTAGGGTGGTACAGTATGACTATAAGTTAACAAAAAAGTAAGGATTTGCTTTGGTAAAGAGATTTTCTTCATATAGAGTTCCCCATGAGACAGTGGAGAGGGGAAAAGGAGAGGGAGGGAGGAGAGAGAGGGTAGAAGAAGAAGAGAAGGAGGGAGGGAGAAGGGAAAGAGGTGGAGAGAGAAGAAAGAAAGGGAGGGAAGAAGGAGGGGAGAAGATCATCCTGCAATCGAAGAGCTATAAGCCATGCCATGGGAGAAGCTGTAATTCTTCTTGCCGTTGCTCTAAATTGCTCAGACATCACAAACCCAAGGTTAATGGGGAATTATTTGTTCAATAAACTCCAAAGTGTTTTTACCTTCTGGTAGGAGGGTAAGAGAGTCTGATGGGCTGTTCGCTTGCCTTTTGTTTCTTTATTTGCTCAAGGGCACTTGGGGGAGTCCTTCATATCTTATATGTTTTCTGTGGTAGATGAAATAAACTTCGTCCTATATCCAATATCCATAT